GGGCTTTCTCTGCATGCATTAATATACTTAAAATTTTTACACTTACTAGGACAACATTCCTTCTTTGGGACTGTCACTTGTAAAATAGGTCTAAGAAATGAATGCCTGCTTTTGTTTATTGCAAGTTTACTGGCTTAAATAGGAAGAATTAATCGGGGACATCCTCTGAAAACTAAGTTTGTCCACTAGCTCAAAATCTCACCAGTGATGAGAAGAGAAACATTTTAAGAACATTTCTCAGCCTTGTTGAGATTAACTGACACATGCTTTTGGAAAGACTCACCCATGAGATTTATTACCATCTTTCATATCTAGCTTTATCATAGATGCACTTACAAATACCTGTAGATAGAAGTACTGCCGATCTCGCTGTGCATGCAAGTGCCTGAAGCATGCAATGCGTTAGGTATTGTGAAATGTACAGTTTACATCATCACAAGTCATCAATTATACTCCACTGCTAGTTAATGTTGCAGATGTTGCTGTAAAGTGAGTATATGAAAAAGAATCAGAAGTAAAGGACTTGTGTTATTTAACTCAGCAGTTCTGTCACAAGTTTCCATGGTTTCAGGCTGTCCGATTCCAATTTTGGTGAAGTGGAAGAGTCACACGTACTAATACAAACATACCCTCAGCCTGACTGCAAGGCAGAGCTGAACGATGTCATTCCTTGATTCTGTTCATTACATAGCAATGGCATTTTAAACACGAAAATTCAGTCATGCTCTAAGCAGCAAATCCTTCTAGCACACATTTAAATTCACATCAACTTAAAAAACAGCAACAAAAGAAACAGGAGATGCATGTTCACACCATGCACTGAAGCTTGATTCCATTAAACAACCCTATTCTCAGTGTTTATGTCACATGATTAATGGAAGTTTGTTTACAGTAGGCCTATTCTACCAGGAACACATTCATAGAAGCACCTTAAACCAAATGTGAATGAAAAAGCTTGCAAAGCCCAGAACATTAACAACATTTTGGTGTGAATGTATTTGGAACAGTAAATCATACGTTAAGATCACGTATAAAAAAACCCAACACATCAGAAATATATTAAAGCAAAGGAAGTCATACAACCTTAATAATAAAGGCAAGTACATTTGATTTACCTTTGAGCTGTCATTTCAGTAACATATTCTTTTCCAAGTTGAACAAGCAACCTATGTTGATTCAGTATGTGTTAGTCCTACTGACTTATCCTGTATTTGAAAGGCTATTAAAAAATCACCCTAACACCTTAAGATCCCAATCCTGCCAACACTTACACCTCTACCCAGCCTCACCAAAAAAATAAAATCAATTCAGATCTGACTAAGCACGTGAGCAGGTATTAGCAGGATAAGGATTTAAAACAGTGGAAGGCAGTCACCTTTCTTTGTTCTGTTGCCTCTACACAGTCAAGGTACATATAACTAACAGGAAAATTCAGCCTTTTGTTTTTAACAGAAAAAATTACTGTGTGCATGCCCTGGAATAAAAATTTGTGAGGAGTGTTAGTTACATACACTGAGTTACAGACACTGAGTTGCTCATAACTGGATTAAGTCTCACAAGGCTTGTATTACAGCTGTTTAGTTTACAGCTGCAAGTATATATATATTTTAAGATTTTATACCCTTTAAAAGTTAAAATTTTCTAGACACAAGCAGCTTTGCACACCTAAGAATACGCAGCGTTAGCAAACTCTGACTTTAAACTACTGATTACTCTAGGCTGACATGAAGAGTTGGGGGAGGATTCCCTCCCTACCCAAAGCAGAAAGAAGTATTTACAAGCACATTAGCAGAAATAGAGGCAAATAAAGCCAAAAGCAGAAGAAACGTACATCTACTGTCACACAAACTTTTAGCATTGTGACAAAAATGGAAGGCAACAAGCCAGACCTCTCATTTTTCAGCTGTTTTGTGCTTATATTCTCATAGAATGCATGTCCCAAATTTGCTGTATTTCATTAGTTTGATTTTTTTAATATATTAAAAGAAAAGCTCAAGCATTACACAGGCATCCAGATTAAGATCCAGTAATTACAGCCTAGCAGAATTAAGCAGGAAATGCAAAGAGTAGGTACAAGTAGAATTAGTATTACTTCCAGACAAAAAAATGTGCTAAGAGGCTATGGAGAATCTGATGTTACTTCCTGTATAGCAGTTCAAATGACAGTAGATGATACAAAAGAGAATAAGCAAAGTAGTAAGTCACTGATGACCAATACTTACAACACAGTGCCTTGAAAATCAAATCAGAGACAAACTGCAGAAAAAGGGAGACAAATATCATCTTAGGACTACCAACAAATAGCTTTGACGGAAGTTTAATTTTAAAACAATGGTCAAAATAGGAAATTAGCCATTTTAAGGAACTTGTTCGAATGTGAAGAATATTCAGCAACAATATTGCAGATCAGGTTTCATTAGATTTACTGTGGGATTCAGCAAACTATGAAGTCCGGTTGCAGTCCTTATGATTTCACAAAAACAATAAATGCAAACTGAGCAACATATGCCAGTGACACAGGATCTAAACCAATTTCCGACTTTTATGAATAATTTATGGAGAACCAAATTTGTGAAGAAAGAAGTTAATTTTGGTCAAAATGAGCCACTTCCCTAAGGCCATGCAGACATATCAAATAATTTCTTAATACTTTTAATAAATAACTTCATGTTGCAGTACAGTGTTCACCTAATTAAGTTCAAGCTATTTTAAACCCATAGGATGTGGGAAGGGAACGGTATTTGCATGTTCTAATAAAATACACAAAGCTTATCAATACTTTTAATTACAAAGTACAATAAATGAGTAATGATTACATTGCAAGATTAGACCCACACAAACTTTAGCTTTTTTTCTGATAGCCACTAAGGTTAAGAGCTTTGGCTTCCACCATAAGAACATGGTAGTACTCATTCTGATTTGTAAATGAGTTTCAAAGTTGTTTAAATGCTAGCTGGTCTCTCAGGTGGCTCAGTTCAAAGGCTTCTGCAATTCTGCTCCTCATCACCTAAGATTCCCTCTCTTGCAGAAAAAAGACTGGCTTTCTAAATTAAGAGGTCATGGGCCTTCTGCATTCTACACCTGTGGAAAATACCGTTTTCTCCAACCAGATTTATAGTAGCTGCTTCTCTTCCATGCACTAGTACAACTTGTACATGGGGAACAGAAGCCTATGTATGAAGAAATATTCTCTGGTATTCCAGCCAGAGGGAAGAAAGGAGAAGGAAAACCACTTTAAAATGTGAAGATGCAACATTACTAGGAAAATACTGAAATAGAATGAATTAACCTAATTTTGTTATCTTATTTCCCAATTTCAAAGTATGCAAGTAAATATGAATCAGTCATATTTTCAGAAGACAGAGCAACAAGCAATGCCTTCCTGATTTTAATATATTCCACCTTTAAGATGAGAACTCTAGGCACTGTGAAACCTGTGAGGCCTTTCCTCAACGAAGAATTACTGTAATCCTGGGGGGAAATGCAAGATTCCTTTTTGCAGTTTCTTCAGCCAAAGACTGGAAGTCTCTGAACTCACACCAGGAATGCTGAAAAATTAAAGAGGCAACACAGCTGTGTTTTCAGGAGTTTTTCAGGAGGAAAACATGAGTTTCAGGGTTAATCTACAGAGATTATTTCCAGTAAAAGTAGATGCTTACCATATTAGTGTGTGAACTATGGCAATTCAAAGGGTGTTAGGAAGAGACAAAAAGAAAGGCATTGCTCATTACCAACAAAACAAGCTAGTTGCAATGGATGAGTAACTTCCACATCCCTGAGCTGAGTATATGAAGCACAAAGCATAGTGAGCCTTCAAAAACTAAGGTTTGAGCGTACATTTACTGACGGGCTGCCCAGTAAATATGCAGCCAACACCTCTCCTCTCACAATAGAGAAGTAAAGTCTATTACTGGGCCAGGAACTTGACACAAAGAGGTTTCTCTTTTCACTTAAGGTAACAGAAACTAAAACTTGTCCAGGACAAAACTGGAGGCTTATGTTTTGTAGGTATTATAGTAAGAGATAAAAATTAGTTAAGGCCAAATTCCAACATACATTCACAGCTGGCTTCATTTCTTTTTCATGCAAATGAAAAGTGCTGCAAACAATACGAGGGGCAAGATGAACGTTAAAAAAATAAAATAAAAAATCCAAGAGATCACACATTTCTTCTCTGAAAAAGATCAGTTTGCTTGAATTTGACTATACTCAGAAAAACTCTCTATAAGCTGCAGGAACTGAGGGCTGCAGACTGATGTGCAAAAGCAAGATACAGCTGTTCTGAAAGGGCTTCTGTGAGCTGATCTCCCAGCTCTGCTGTACGGATTCCAGTTGTTTTTGGAAGTGGGAAGTCCAAAACAAGGAGTCTAGGTAAGTATTTTAGAGAATTTAATTTCCCATTTATAAAGATTTCTGTTAAGGTAACAGAGGTATAAACCACTGTAACATTTCTCAATTTGTATCTTATTAAAGCTAGGAGAATTTAAGCAAAACCAAATTATTCCAGTCTTTGAGGCACACACATTGTAACATTTGCATCTTAGAGACAGAAATAATTTCAGCAAATCCCTCCTGAAGACTCTAGAAATGTTAGTCCCATTTATTACACTAGCTAAAAGGACAACATACTAATTTCTCCTACAATTGTGTATTCCAAGTTCTTTTCCTACCCTTCAAAGGGCATCAGTGCCACTCAGGGAAAAAATATAAAAAAATTACTGCTTTCTACATATATTTTATAATAAATATATTCAACAAGTCATGAGTCTCTACATGTCTAGTGTTTGGAAAATACCAATTTATGCAGGAGAACAAGCTGTGAAGGCCTAAAGTAAAAGATGACAATATGGCTTATTATGTTCATGCTGGATTTAAAATACAAGCTACTGAAAAAAGTAAACAGAAGTAGCTTACGCTAATAGAATCTTCCCCCATAAGTTGAGGGAAGCATCAATTCAGGACAGGTCAGGGTTGTGGTCCAGCACACTGGAACCAGCCAGAAATGAAAGCAGTATCACCTTTGTAAAGAAGTTCCAGGAAAAAACATAGGCACCATGAATTCCTTTTTAAGGTTCAAATGTACATTAGCATGTTACATCCTCCCCTTCCCCTCCATTCATAAAACCAGTTTATTTAAAGTTATACATATCTCATAGAGTACCTTCAGCATGAGAAGTCTCTTAGGTCAACTGCTCCATGATAACTACACTCAATAACGCAAAGTGGATGACTTGGTCAAACCATCTCTCCCACCCCAATAACTTAATTTCAAACTACAGGAAACAGTTATATTACGTAGTACTCAATGGCTGGGCTTGTCAGAGCTCTGAAACAAGGAGCACAGCTCTTCACAGGTCTGTGTTTCTACTGAACTGAACTGAGACTCCATTGTGTTCCAGGCTAAGTCAGCCAGAAGAAAGTCATCCATTGCTGTCTGTGTCTCATTGCTGGTAAGGAATAAAATCCCTAGATTCTCAAAGCAGCTATCCATAGTCTGTGTTTCAGCACTACTGAGTTGGACTTTTCTTTCAGTATTCTTAGTAGGTATATTTTTAGTAGCTGGGTATACTTCTGTCTGGGTTTTTGTATCAGATGAATCAGAACTCATGGAGAAACTAGACTGCTTCAGAATACTTCCTAAAGGCAGATGGGTATTACTGTCCAAGAAGAAATTCAAGTCTGTCTGTGTCTGTGTATCAAACATCTCCAAACCTAAGAAGTTAGAATTTCCTCGGCAGCTATACGATTGAGTTGCACTATCTGAAAATAAGAAATCAGTCTGAGTTTCAATGTCCAGTGACTCCAAAACTGGCTCAGGGTTCAGGGTACCAAGCTCACTCTCTTCAGTCTGAGTTTGAATATTGGATGCTGAAAAGAACTCTTCAATGTCAAAGTCTATTCCTGTGCTCTGTGATGGACCAGATGGCAGATGCATGTCAACATTAGAACTTGTCTCAGACAAAAGGCCCCGATTATCCAGTGTCTGGTCAGGCATATTTCCTGAAAAGATGTTTTCCAGATCACTTAGCAAGTCCACTGTCTGGGTTTGATTATCCATCGTATTTTGAGGTGGAAGTATATTAGGCTGTGTACTGAAGCTGATAAGGGATTCAGACTTCACTGTACCTTGATTCAGGCTCTTGCAATTACTTCTTTGCAGTAAAGTTTGAGCTATATTTGCAGGCATTAAGTCGCTTTCTGGAAGTTCAATGTGAGTAGAAACATTATATGATGAATGAACATTGTCAAAGATGTCACTGCACATCACAGCCTGGTCCATCTGCACCCTTCCATCAATAAAGTCCTGTGTCCTACTGGTTTGAGTCTCTCTAGAAATGCCACATATTGGAAAACAAGCCTGACTAAAAGCTTCAGTTTGAGCAGCTATGGATGAAGTCAGTTTGGAAGCAGGCAGCAGCGTCTGTGTTTGTACACTGATGGGCAGTGAAACCTGTGAACTGAATGACAGATCTGTCTGAGAGCAAGAGGATACAGAAGAATTGGGAGTCCAGGCTGCAGCTGGTACAAAGTTCTGTGAAATATAAGATAAGTCAGTCTGTATATTTATTGAAGAAATTTTATTCTTGTGACAAATATTCCCCATCTCTTGCCCTGTGTTACTCAATGTAACCATATCCTTGTGTAACCACTCAACTTGTACACCAGTACTTACTGGTTCATGATCACCAGAATTTGTCACTTTTGAAACAGGCATACTGTCTTTAAATACAAGTTTTTCTGCCTCCAGTGCTGGAATCAGAATTCCTATTGATTGAGGCAATAAATGAACAGTACTTATAAGTGAACCTTGATTATCAACAGCCACTACAGCAGGTTTGACAGAAGAGTCTGTTGCAGATATATATATAGGCAAGTGAGCAAACTGCATCACTGGAAGTTTAACCAAAGCCACTTTGGGCTTTGGTAAGAGCATCTTCAGCGTACATTTTGGCTGCATTTGGTTCGTGGGGTTAGAACTGCAGAAGCTTTCAGGAGATGCTGCTAGTTTCACTTCAGAGGACTCCAGTTCCTGAGTGCCAGGATTATTATTGTGTGTGTTGATGAATGCTTCATTTGCTTTCTCTGCCAACTGCTGATTATGTATAGAGGTTTCCATTTTCCTTTTCTTACTAGGAGGATCCCTGTGAACATGAGATCAATAATTTATACTCCTTTCAAGCACAAAACACCCACCTTCCATTCTTTTGAGTCATTGCACTGAAAATATAAACTGAAGTCACAGATGAGGTTGGGTATGGAGAAAGCAATTAATCCCGATTAAAATATAAAAAGACTCCATGAACTTCAGTTCTGTAAGATTTAATTCCTCACTCTCCCATTTCAAAAAGAATAAAGGTTACCCCCTCCACAGAGACCTATTTCTAAATGAAGGTGGAAATTTAGATGGTTTCTTCCCCCTCATACATTAAGTACTCTAATTGAAGACACATTTAATTTGTTACTTTGATGCTAACTCAGACTGAGCATTGAAAGGACAGCTTTTAAAATTAGCGTACAGGCAAAAGCCTCTCATGGAAACCAAAATACAGTTAGCACTCCTTCACACAGAACTTGATTTTGCAGCAGTTGTATCTCCAAACCAAACAGGTTCAGCCTCAGGAAACAGACTACCCTTTATGAAATATATGTACACATTAAGACAACTTTAAATCTAGACATGCATATACAGCCATTAAAGAAAAAAATAAAAATAAAAACACCCCACCGGTACTTGCAAAGATAAGTAGACTATAAAAGAAAATAATCTGAACTGCATTACACACCAGTTACCAGCTATAAACATTTCCAAATAATCTCTACTCTCACAGAACTGTAAAAGCAGATACAAGAACCACCAGCATTTATGCCATGCAGTGAAGTCATCAGTATTTTTTGTTTTATATGTAGGGAAACTTAATCTTATTGATTAGACAATCATCCTTGCCTTCAACAAAGCAGAAACTACCAAAAGCAACAGAACAAAGAAACTGCAAACTGCTTTACAGCTAAAACAATGCGAGCCTATTTCCAATTTAATCAACAGAAAAGAGACAAAAAGCCAGTCAGAGAACTTGGTGATGAACAGAAGTATTACTTAACCACTTCATTTTTACCTGTGTTCTGCAGGAATTTCATGGCCAGTTCTGTAAATATGAGACAACAGCGCTGTTCTGCTGGCATAAGGGCACCCACAAGTACAGTGGAAAGTCTTGCCACAGACCTCTATGTGACGTTTCAAATACCACTCTGTACCATAGGAGTTACTACATTTATCACATTTGTGCTTCTTTTCAGCATGCATTTTCATAAAATGCTAGAATACACAATGAGAAGTAAACATTAGCCTTCAGCTAAGATAAAAAAAAGAAAATAATGTTTAGGGAAGACATTAATATTTGTAATATTTGCCTTTTTTTTTTTAGTTGTTAAATAGCATCAAATTGTAGAATAAATATGTTTTTTTAAAGTCTCATTAAGAAATAAAGTACAAGCTTGAATAAATCAACAGAAAGAATTTAAAGTTTGCAAGTCTGCTTGTGCTATGCACATCTTAAACAACAGATAAACATTTATGTGCCTTAATGCTACTGGAGGTTTCCTATGGACATTAATAAATCTATAGACAAACCTTGTTAAAGAGCATAGTTAAGTATATGTTGCAACAGGTGCATGCTCCTGAAGATCTACAACTAAGCAAATACTCTCAAGTCAAACAGGTCAACTTCAAAGCAAACACCAGAATGTCTCCTGTTCATTCTCAACACCAAGTGCTAGCCACTCCATTTCCTATGGTCTCCCCAAGTTATCATGGGTAACCAACAGCAGAAGAAAGGTTTTTTTACTCATTCATGCAGAAACAAGTCTTACATTTTTTATTAAACACATAATCAGTAAACAGTTGCATTTTGACACTAAAGCAGAGAAAAACTCTTAGTTCTTGACCACTTAAAAAAAGCAGTTTAAAAGCATCAGCCAAATTTTAAACCATTATTGGTTGCTACTGTGATTTTTCCCTTCCCCCCCCCTTTCTCCATCTTTTTAATTGGAAAGGGACCGTCTTCTAGTTCTGCAGAACATACTGGCATCTGCCTCACCAAAAGGTTCAAGCCTTCTAATACCAACATGCAAATTCCTTAACCATATACCCGCACTGAGTTTCTGAATATGATTCTCCAACTTGTGGACATATACTGAGATGCTTTGCTCATATCTCAAGGCAAAAGTGTACACTCTGGAGTAGAGACAGTCAGGAATAAATCAGTATGAAAATAATAGTTTAGGAAATAGGAATACCTGTTTGACAAGAGAAAATTGGGAAAATGGTCTGTTTGGCCCTCTAGGGCAGCCTTCAATAGGACAGCAATAGAATTTCTGAGATGCTTTCAAACCCTTCCTTATTGGTGCATTAAGTTTTCCATCCTGCAAAAGAAGCAATTGAGAAGATGACAGTTCTATAGGTTTGTGTATGAAAGACAACATTCAGAATACACATCAACTTTAACTCACTGAGTTTACACCCCTCAATGAGTTGAAGGCACTTTACTAAGTAATTTGAAAGTTCAAATGGAGTTTTTCATCAAAGTAGATGCTAATACGCAAATGTACCATCAAAACTGCCAAGTGAAATTACAACCTCTACAGAGTAATAGTACTGTAGTATTTACTTCTAAGATACTCACTGCCCCATGCCAATAACTGCCTTCCATGTTATTTGAACAAAATGCTTTCCCTAAGGATACTACACTGCTGATTCAATGTGGTTTTACTTGTTAGTAGCACAGTCTACTCGAAGCTCTGTTAAAATTAGTCACACATGATATAACACAACACTCTCCTAAGAATTATATCGGCACTATTTACAGTTTACTGGTAATAAAATGAAAATTGCCAAGTTGTCGTGGTTTAAACCCAGTCAGGTAACACTCTGCCACTTAATTCAGAGCATAAATAAAATCTCACTGAAGTAACTCCTAATTCTGAACCTCTGTTCTGGGTTCAGCTGTAACAGTTACTTTGCTCCTTCCTAGTAGCTGGTGCAATGCTGTGGTTTTGGCTTTAGTCTGAGAACAGTACTGATAATACACCAGTGTTTCAGTTGTTGCTAAGTAACACTTACTCTGACCAAGGACTTTTCAGTCTCTCATGCTCTGACAGTGAAGAGAGGCATGAGAAGCCAGGAGAAAGCAAAGACACCTGACTCAAATTAGACAAAGGGATATTCCATACCACAGCATGTCATGCACAGTATATAAAGCAGGGGGTTATCTGAAAGGCCCAGATCGCTGCTCAGGTCAGGCTGGGTATTGGTCAGTACGTGATGAGCAATCGTATTGTGCATCACTTGTGTTTATTGGTTTGTTTTTTCCTTTCCCAGTTTAGTTTTGTATTCTCTCCCCTTGTTATTTCACTAATCATTATTATTATTAGTTCTATATTATACTTTCGTTACTGGACTGTTCTTAACTCATGAGGGGGACACAGGGGGAAGAGGGGGGGAGTGAACTGAGCAGCTGCATGGTTCTGAGTTACCAGTTGGGCTTAAGCTATTACAGGGCTTTTGAGAAAAATATCCTTACTACCCTCAAAACCATAACGCCAAGTGTGTGACGGCAAATCCCATTCCTGGAAAACTTGAAGTGCTGTGTTCATAGCGACGTTCTGAAAATGTAGCCCCAATGGGTAGACAAAAACCTACTTGTTTTGTGAAATGGATAATTCCAGGATCTAGTGTGTGTTACAGATACTCATGGAGGATGAGCACAAGGAAATACTGATTTGTAGAACTCACCAAAAACTCGTTAACAAAGTTTAAGTTGACAAACTAGTTAGGTTCTAAATGGTTATTGTAAAACGTTTACCCAAGATACTTCTTCACTGTCATCTATTAGTAAATAATTTCAAAGTTCACTACAGGGAAATAATGACTGACCAATTTGGTGACCTTCTATGATGGGGCTACGGAGCTCATGGACAGGGGTAGAGCAGTTGATGCCATCTACCTGGACTTGTGCAAAGCATTAAACACTGTCCCACATGGCATCCTCGTCTCTAAATTGGAGAGACATCAATTTGATGGATGGACCACACGTGGATAAAGAACTGGCTGGATGGCCACACGCAAAGAGTTGTGGTCAATGGCTCAATGTCCACCCGGAGACCAGTAACGAGTGGTGTCCCTCAGGGATCGGGGTTGGGACCAGTCTCGATCAATATCTTTGTCAGCGACATGGACAGTGGGATTGAGTGCGCCCTCAGCAAGTTTGCTGATGACACCGAGCTGTGTGGTTCGGTTGATACACTGGAGGGAAGGAATGCCATCCAGAGGGACCTTGAGACACTTCTGAGGTGGGCTGATGCCAACCTCATGAAGTTTAACCATGCCAAGTGCAAGGTCCTACACCTGGGTCGGAGCAATCCCAAGCACAGCTACAGATGGGGCAGAGAAGAGATTCAGAGCAGCCCTGCAAAGAAGGACTTGGGGGGTATTGGTTGATGAGAAAATGAACATGAGCTAGCAGTGTGCACTTGCAGCCCAGAAAGCCAGCCGTATCCTGGGCTGCATCAAAAGGAGTGTGACCAGCAGGCTGAAGGAGGTTATCCTGCCCCTCTACTCTGCTCTTGTGAAACCTCACCTGGAGTATTGTGCAGAGTTCTGGTGTTCTCAACATAAAAAAAGACATGGAACTGTTGGAACAAGTCCAGAAGAGGGCCACGAGGATGATCACCGGATTGAAGCACCTCCTGTATGAACAAAGTCTGAGAAAGTTGGGGCTGTTCAGCCTGGAGAAGAGAAGGCTGCATGGAGACCTCATAGCAGCCTTTCCAGTATCTGAAGGGGGCCTATAAGGATGCTGGAGAGGGACTCTTCATTAGGGACTGTAGTGACAGGACTAGGGGTAATGGGTTAAAATTTAAACAGGGGAAGTTTAGGTTAGATATAAGGAAGCAGTTCTTTACTGTGAGGGTGGTGAGGCACTGGAATGTTTTGTCCAAGGAAGTTGTGAATGCTCCATCCCTGGCAGCGTTCAAGGCCAGGTTGGACAGAGTCTTGGGTGACATGGTTTAGTGCGAGGTGTGGCAGGCGGGTTCGAACTAGGTGATCTTAAGGTCCTTTCCAACCCTAAGTATTCTATGATATTAATTTATCATTCTAGCAGCTGTCCTTAAGGTTGTGATTAGGAACATTGAGATTGACCCTTAACTTTCCAACAATTCCAATAAACTTAGAAATTCACTGTAATAAACCAAGTTTAGCTAAATCTTATAAAAATTAGTCATAACCTCTCGAGTATCAGTCTACAAAACTGCCCCCATGGCAGGGGGTTGGAACTTCATCTTAATATCCTTTCCAAGCCTACCTATTCTATGATTCTATGATTACAAAGCCACAAACTTCTCATTGCTATAACTGCTAAAAAACTATTGTTGCTAATTCTATACATAAAACTTAAGTGAATTTAATTATTTACAAAGATTGTATTTTGTCTGTACTTCCTTGTCTCAATACTCTCAAGTATACTTGATATCTCCTGGCTCTGCTCAAGTATACTTGATATCTCCTGGCTCTGTTTTATTTCATTTCTGACTATGTGCTGTATTATATCACACGTGTGTAGTAGTAGAGGGATAGGAGAAAATGAAAATGTCACATTCAGCAAACAGTCAGACCCTACAGAGGGGAAAAACTGTGGATTAGTCAGTTTATATACAGCTTATATACTGGGCAGGACGTTCTGTGGTATGGAATACACCTATGGCTAGTTTGGGTCAGGGGTCCTGTCTCTGCTTGCTCCGGGCTTCTCATGCCTTTGTGACTAGGAAAGCATGAGACTGAAAAGTCCCTGATCAAAGTAAGCATGACTTAGCAACAACAACATGGCCCTAAACACTGCCAGGAATGGAGCATTTAACACTTCTTTGGGCAACCTGTTCCAGGGCCTCACAACCCTCACAGTAAAGAACTGCTTCCTTATATCTAACCTGAACTTCCCCTGTTTAAGTTCTAACCCATTACCCCTTGTCCTATTGCTACAGTCCCTGATGAAGAAGAGTCTCTCTCCAGCATCCTTTCAGGTCCCCTTCAGATATTGGAAGGTTGCTATGAGGTCATCATGCAGCCTTCTCCTCTCCAGGCTGAACAGCCCCAACTTTTTTATCCTGTCTTCATATGGGAGGTGCTCCAGCCCCCTGATCATCCTCGTGGGCCTCCTCTGGACTTGCTGCAACAGCTCCATATCATTTTTATGTTGAGAACACCAGAACTGCACACAATACTCCAAATGAGGTCTCACAAGAGCAGAGTAGAGAGGCAGGATCACCTCTTTCGACCTGCTGGCCATACTTCTTTTGATGAAGCCCAATATATGGTTGGCATTCTGGGCTGCGAGCACACACTGCTGGCTCATGTTCAGTTTCTCATCGACCAGCAACCCCCAAGTCTTTCTCTGCAGTTCTGCTCTGAACCATTTCTGCACCGAAGACAACGAGAAACGCTCCCCCATCCTGTGTAGCCCAGTCCCTCCGTAGCAGCAAGCTCCACCATGCCAACCCTGCAGAACGAGATGTAGCAGCCGCCGCCCCCAGCATAGCCCCGGAGGGGCCCACCTCCCGCCCGGACGCCCAAATTCCATCACCCGCGGCCCAGAACGGGGCGAGGTTGGACCTCAGTAGGGTCCCGTGGTGGCTTCGTCCCAGAAAGGAAGGAGCCGCACTATTACATAACCCCACAGACCGAGGTGAGGGGCAAGCCCCGCCACCCCCGGGGGGCTCAGCAAGGGGGAGGCGCCCAGCGGGCCAAGTCGGGGTGGTGGTACCTTGACAGGGTGGGCTTTGTTGAGGTGCATGTTGAGAGCTGGGCTGTTGGGCAGAACTTTGCCGCAGCCGGGAACGGTGCACAGGATGTTGGTCCTCACTTGGGACAGCTCTGTCACCGAGGGCTTCACCAGCTCGCCGGCGGGCGCCGGGGGTCGCCCCAGCACGCCGCCACGCCGCCCAGCCCCAGCTCCCGTTCCTGCTGCCGCCGCCATGTTGCTGTCAGCTGCTCACACTCCGTTTCCGGACGCAGTCACCAATACGCTTCGCCGCTGGTGAATATGCAGCAGTCGCGTGACGGGGCCCTCCCCTTTGCGTCACCGTTCGGCGGTGGTGGAGCTCTGAGCGGAAGAGGAGGAGACCTTACAGCAGCGGTGACGCAGCAGCTACTAAAGCGGCTGAGCGAGGGTGTGCGGCAAATAGATAAATTGAGAGAATCTTGATCTGGACGTGAGAATACACGGAGCTGGGTCGTGTGGAAAAACGCTTCTGACAGCCTCAGCCCCATTACTCTCCCGTGGTTGGGGGTAAGTGGGGCCGCCTCGCATTCATTTGTGACGTTCCTATAATAACCTTCATTACATGAAGTTAGAGATAAAATGTACATCTGAAAATCAGACACCAACATTGCAGTTGTTATAGAGGGGATGGAGCCTGCCTTTCCCAGAAACAAGAGGCAGAAACAGGCAGATCAGGTACTCACATTATTCTAAGAGTATTTTGGAGCTTTAAACTTGCGGTAGTGTGAAATACGAGCTCACTCCTATAATCGAGATAGCAGGGTTTAATTGAGCGATAAAGTCAATAAAGCAAAAGCAGCAGTCCTGGCCGCATAGCCGTAGCCAGAGGCGAACTGATTAGCATTTGTTACAGGTTTATATACTTTCACTGTTGCATTAACCATATACATATTCATAATTCCTGTGTATAGGCGGGGAATATTATAACTAGCTCCAGGAACTTATTATCATAAGTCTCTTTGTGATAAACACATAAATGTATTGGCTTTCGCAAATCATAGGTGTTACTATATGGATATAACTGTATGAGTTCGCAATAACAGAAAAAAAAGCTCGCTAAAGACACAAGATTAGACAAGCTGAAAATGGCCAGAAAGCTTGAACAAAATGGATTCACATAGCAAAAGAATTTGTAAAGGTAAAAGAAAAGGGAGGGGGCTTGATATGAGGAAAGCTAGTGCCTGGAAAATATAGGGTTAAAGTATTTTTAGCTTAAATTAGGTTGAACATAAAGAACAATGCTTGTGTTGTAAGTCTGTGGTGAGATAGAATTTAGCGGCCCCACTAAACATGAGTGAATTATTTCACACCATCCTTCTACTTATCAGTTAGTTCGGAGACAGTGCCTCAGGAACAACTGCTAGCTTGGGATACTCCTTGTCTGCCCGTCCTGTTTTAGAATCATAGGATCATAGAGTAGTTAGGGTTGGAAAGGACCTTAAGATCATCTAATTCCAACCCCCCTGCCACGGGCAGGGACACCTCACACTAAAACATATCACCCAAAGCCTCATCCAACACTGCCAGGGATGGAGCATTCACAACCTCCCTGGGCAACCTATTCCAGTGCCCCACCACCCTAACAGGAAAGAACTGCCTCCTTATATCCAATCTAAACTTCCCCCGTTTAAGTTTTAACCCTTTACCCCTTGTCCTATCACTACAGTCCCTAATGAAGAGTCCCTCCCCAGCATCCCTGTATGCCCCCTTCAGATACTGGAAGGCTGCTATGAGGTTTCCACGCAGCCTTCTCTTCTCCAGGCTGAACAGCCCCAACTTTCTCAGCCTATTTTCATACAGGAGGTGCTCCACTCCACTGATCATCCTTGTGTCCCTTCTCTGGACTTGTTCCAACAGTTCCATGTCCTGTTTATGTTGAGGACACCAGAACTGCACACAGTACTCCAGGTGAGGTCTCATGAGGGCAGAGTAGAGGGGCAGGACCTGCTGCTCATGCTCGTTTTGATGCAGCCCAGGATACGGTTGGCTTTCTGGGCTGCAAGCGCACACTGCAGGCTCATGTTCATTTTCTCATCAGCCAATACCCCCAAGTCCTTCTCCACAGGGCTGCTCTGAATCTCTTCTCTGCCCAACCTGTAGCTGTGCCTGGGATTGCTCTGACCCAGGTGTAGGACCTTGCATTTGTTATGGCTAAACTTCAAAAGGTTGGCATCAGCCCACCTCACAAGCATGTCGAGGTCCCTCTGGATGGCATTCCTTCCCTCCTTGTTTTGCTTGCAATAAATTTGGCAGGAAGGTAACACTGTTCTAAAACTTTGCCAGCTATCAGAAAAATTACAGATATGGCTGGTTTCAGCTAGTTTTGTGATTGCTGAGGTATCCAAATGTGCCAAAGGTGAAAAGTACACTGTTGATCTAAGGAAAGCAAGTGCTTGGAAAACATAGGGTTAAGATACTTTTAACTTAACTTAAGTCTAAGATGGAGAACAATGTTTGTGTTGTAAGTCTGTGGTGTGAAAACAGAATTTAGTAGACTTACTAACAAGAGTGAATTGTTTCCTTTCATAGAATCATGGAATCATAGAATCATTAGGGTTGGAAAGGACCTTAAGATCATCTAGTTCCAACCCCCCTGCCGTGGGCAGGGACACCTTATGCTAAATCATATCACCCAAGGCCTCGTCCAACCTGGTCTTGAACACTGCCAGGGATGGAGCATTCCCAACCTCCCTGGGCAACCTATTCCAGTGCCTCAGCACCCTAACAGGAAATATTTTCCTTTTTATATCCAACCTAAACTTCCCCTGTTTAAGTTTTAACCTGTTACCCCTTGTCCTGTCACTACAGTCTCTAATGAAGAGTCCCTCTCCAGCATCCCTATAGGCCCCCTTCAGATACTGGAAGGCTGCTATGAGGTCTCCACGCAGCCTTCTCTTCTCCAGGCTGAACAGCCCCAACTTCCTCAGCCTGTCTTCATATGGGAGGTGCTCCAGTCCCCTGATCATCCTCATGTCCCTTCTCTGGACTTGTTCCAATAGTTCCATGTCCTTTTTATGTTGAGGACACCAGAACTGTGCACAATACTCCAGGTGAGGTCTCACAAGAGCAGAGTAGAGGGGCAGGATCCCCTCCTTTGACCTGCTGGTCACCCTCCTTTTGATGCAGCCCAGGATACGGCTGGCTTTCTGGGCTGCAAGCGCACACTGCCTGCTCATGTTCATTTTCTCATCAACCAACACCCCCAAGTTCTTCTCCGCAGGGCTGCTCTGAATCTCTTCTCTGCCCAACCTGTAGCTGTGCCTGGGATTGCTCCGACCCAGGTGTAGGACCTTGCACTTGGCATGGTTAAACTTCATGAGGTTGGCATCAGCCCACCTCACAAGTGTCTCAAGGTCCCTCTGGATGGCATTCCTTCCCTCCAGCGTATCAACCGAACCACACAGCTTGGTGTCATCGGCAAACTTGCTGAGGGCGCACTCAATCCCACTGTCCATGTCAGCGACAAAGATGTTAAACAAGACCAGTCCCAACACTGATCCCTGAGGGACACCACTCGTTACTGGTCTCCGGGTGGACATTGAGCCATTGACCACAACTCTTTGCGTGTGGCCATCCAGCCAGTTCTTTATCCACTGAGTGGTTCATCCAATTTCTAGACAAGGATGTCTGGTGGGACAGTGTCGAACGCTTTACACAAGTCCAGGTAGATGACATCAACTGCTCTATCCCAGTCCATCAGTTCTGTAGCCCCATCATAGAAGGCCACCAAATTGGTCAGGCAGGATTTCCCCTTAGTGAAGCCATGTTGGCTGTCACCAAGCACCTTGTTGATTTTCATGTGCCTTAGCATGACTACCAGGATAATCTGCTCCAAGATTTTGCCAGGCACAGAGGTGAGATTGACTGGTCTGTTATTCCCCGGGGTCATCCATTTTCCCCTTCTTGAAAATGGGGGTTATATTTCCCTTTTTCCAGTCATCGGGAATCAGCAAGCAGATGAGTGAAGTATTTCTTACCATCGTTCTAATTATCAGTTAGTTTGGAAACAGTGACTCCCGAACATCTGCTAGCTTAGGGTACTCCTTGTCTGCCCATCCTGTTCTGCTTGCAATAAATTTTGTACAAAGGTCACACTGTTCTAAATCTTCGCCAGCTAGAAAACATAGGGCTAAGATACTTTTAACTTAACTTAGGTCTAAGATAGAGAAGAATGTTTGTGTTGTAAGTCTGTGGTGTGAAAACAGATTTTAGTTGTCTTACTAACAAGAGTGAATTGTTTCCTTCCATCCTTCTAATGAGTGAAGTATTTCTTTCCATCGTTCTAATTATCAGTTAGTTTGGAGACAGTGACTCCCAAACATCTGCTAGCTTAGGATACTCCTTGTCTGCCCTATCCTGTTACAAAGGTCACTGTTCTAAATCTTTGCCAGCTATCAGAAACTTGCAGATACGGTTGGTTTCAGCTAATTTGTGATTACTGGGGCATCCAACTGTTCCAAAGGTAAAAAGTGCACCATGAGGAAGACTGCTTACTTCATCTTGAAGACCCCTGCACACATGAGGAAGACTACTTACTTCATCTTGAAGACCCCTGCCCACGACCATTGGAGGGCAGTGCACAGGCGCCAAAAGGGAAGAGACGTATGATAATGAGTACCTAAACTAATTGTAATATCCCTGCCGAACTCTCGGGAACCTAATGAATATGCATGTTTGTGTGTAATACATATCCGCTTGATGATTCGGAGAAAACTCCAGGAACAAACTTGCCAACAAAGTTTTCAAGCTGACAAGCAGGTACTCTTTATTTCGGCGCCGGGAGACATGGGGAATTGCTCCTCCTAACGTGTATCTCCATATTGCTACACAAAGTGCCCTTATATAGTCCCTGAGCATATATACATATTCATGAGGCTACGTATGGATTACATCATTTTCCAGAAAGTTCCCCGCATGCGTACAGAAATGTGGTGGTGGTCTCTGAGAGTCATTTACTTCTTCCAAATATCTTCATCACTTTTGGCAGCCTTTGAAGCACGCGCAGCAAATGCTTATACCAGCTTAAAAGGTTTGTTAGCACCAGAGACATAATAATCCTCCTGTCCTCCTACTTATCACTTGGTTTAACTGTAGTCCATCCTGGACACCTGCCATTCCCAGATACTCCTTATCCCTGTGTC